ACTTTGCTAAATTTTTGTGTAAATTTGAAAACATTTAGCACAACAACTACATCTCAATACTAAAGTAGTTGAGGTCAGGTTTATGAATCCCAGTGTTATCAAAGGCGCGCTTAAGCCCTGAAGCGAGGCTCAAAACGTGTTGAGCGCCTTGCCTCACTTTATGTGCGCTTTAGTGTTGTCATCAAGGTTCTAAGGCATACTTTTTGTTGCCAATGAGCCTCCTCTTCAGAGGTGACACTAAACAATTGATATTTCACTCTATCATAAAAAAAATCAATTTCTTTGGTCATATATTTGTCATTCATGTTTATAATTATTAGTCTTGAACTAAACATATATATTTGTGTTTTTTTCTCCCTTTGCACCTTTTTTAATTAAAGCCCACACTTTATTTGTGCTTAAAGCCCCAACGGACCTTAGAGTTTTTTTTGTGATTTTCGCCTTTGATAACACTGATGAATCCTCAATATCCGTCCTACTTTGTTTGGACTTGATTCATTTAATGACCTAATATTTGGAACAAATTAAGGATTCTGTAGAACTGTAGTGTAAATGTCACACATATCCTTTTCTTTAATAACCATGTTATCGTGCACCTTGACTAATTTCACGAGGTACCTTCTATCTTCCACCAACACAGATAGCAGGTGATAACTCTATCCACCAAGGCATGGACAAATGTGAAGAGAACATCTAGTGTTTTTTGTCTCCACTGGAATGTGACCCGAGAACCTCATGGTACTCCACCCACCTCATTGAGCACTAGGCCACACCCTTGGGTACATATCACACATATCCTTCATTTCGTGCAATCTCTAAGCAAATTTTAGAGACTTTTGTCGAATGCCAGACCTAAAGTAAAGTGTGTCAATAATGACCAACTTTAATTCTAGCTAGTTGGTATTGTTATGGATACAACAGGTACCTTGCTTCAGTTTGTTTATCACTAAGTCTGCATAGAATCCAATAAATTGTAGGTATTTTGAGATAACTCTTCGTCTGGTGATTTTAGATCCATCTCTTCCCTGTTTAACACCTTCAATCATCACAATGTCGTACTTGAAGACTAGTGCATTTGGAGGTCTATGTAGGAGTAGACCATAGCAGAACTTTCTCAAATGACTCTCTTACTTTTTCTCTTCTATATGCACTATTTGACCTGTTAATGTGATCATTTCTTAATTATCGATACCATGTATGACCGTATATCTATTCTAGCATCCACATTAATACTTATGGTTTTTCTAATTATATGTTGGAAAAACTTCACATAATATTTTCTACATTTTTACATTCTTTTTTTCTACATTTTGACGTGGAAAACTTACACAATTCATGTTGGGAATTTCAGAAAGATTGGACCAAGATACAAGTGGAATACAGAGTACACTTTGTGACCATTCCTTTCAGTGCTCTTGTGTCTCAAAGTGGACCTATTTGGCATGCCAAGTTAGTATGCTTGCCTAATTTCTCCCCATTACTCTCATTTACACTGATGAAATTAAGTGCTTTGTCAATATTCATGAAAAAAGTCATGTACGTGAGGTCTTTACAAGATCAGATTTTCTACTACTAAGTTTCATGCATGCACTTCAGTTGAGGAGTGAGTGCTTATGGGTGAATTTGAGTGTTTTGATCTTAAAACTGTCTCATGTGCTCTTGAGTTTTATTGTTATGGTTATACTTTTATCTGTTTATTTGTTTTTTATTTTTATTTGTAAATAACGTTCTTGCCTAATTTGTCTGTTTCTGTATGTGTTTACTGACAATATTTTACTGTCTATTGTAGGTGTGTCGACTTTGTCAGCAGCAAGATGAGAAGCCTGCCTGTTCAGAGTGTGGAACAATGAAGAATCTTTGTGTTTGTTTGATTTGTGGTTTTGTAGGGTGTGGAAGGTACAGAATACATTTTTCCCCCTTTAACCATCCTACTAGTGAACTTAATTAGTTGCTATTGTGACTTGATGGTGTTTAAACATCTCTGACCAGCCCTTCCTTGGCTTGTTCTTATCATAGATATGAGAAAAAGCATGCAATTAAACACTGGACGGATGCAGCGCATCACTATTCACTTGAATTGGAAACCCAACAAATCTGGGATTATGTAGGGGACAAGTATGTCCACCGATTGAACCAATCGAAAGGTGATAGCAAGTTGGTTACTGTTAATTCCCGATGTACTGCAACTGAGGGAGAATGTACTACTTGTGGCGATGATGAGGATTCAAGTTTTAGTGGTGCCCTTTTCAGCAGCAAAGTTGATTCGGTATTTTTTTTCTTTATTCTCTCATATCATTCTTGTTACGCAATGACTTTTTGACATTCTTTAGGATCGGACATAATTGGAAATCCCTCCATTTCCTGTCCTCTCCTTAGGGGACATATCATTCTTGTTACGCAATGACTTTTTGACATTCTTTAGGATCGGACATAATTGGAAATCCCTCCATTTCCTGTCCTCTCCTTAGGGGTTTTATTTTGTTATTAACTGCCATATCTTGAAGCAAATTAAGTTATTGTTTTACCTAAATGTAGATTGTAGATGAGTACAACAATCTTCTTGCTAGTCAGCTGGAAACTCAAAGACAAGTAAGCAAACCTTAAACCTACTATCATTCTGTTGATCACCCCTTGCATTTTTTTCATCTCAGAAGAAGTGATATCCTGACCTGCCGTAACCTCTACTAAATTTCTCTGTGGCAGCAAGTGTCGGAGCAGTTTTCACTATGCATGCATTTTAGCCAGAATTTAAGCATGTTAAAGAGTTGAAAGTCCTTTCAGTTAATTAACAGTTTTGACTAATGTTCCTCAGCATTATGAATCTCTACTAGCCGAGGCAAAGAGTGGAAAAGAGAGCTCAATATCCAGAGCAGTGGAGAAGGCAGTTTTCTCAAAGTTGAATGACTTGCAGGCTAAGATAGAAATGTATACAGAGGAGACAAAGTCCACTGCAGAGGTAGGGACCGATCAAGAAAAGTTTCCGTGCACAAACTTCCTGGATCTTTTCCGTACCTTATTTCCACTTTTATGTAACTCAATAACTTTTTGATTAATTACCTTTTGTTTTTAGAGGAATCAAGTGCTTTTGAAAAACCAAGAGCTTTTGCAGACAAAGTATAGAGAAACAGCAGAAAGGTACATTTATTTTATCTGGCTTATGTTAGCTTTACAAGTCGTCAGTAAGACTCGCTAGAGCTCGAAAATATCTGCATTTTGTTACATTTTCCACTAATTTAGTTTGATACTAGTCAATTTGGATTTTGGTGATATCAATAGGTTGGCCCAATTGATTTGTACCCGTCTTTTTCTTCACTTCCACGTCATTATGCACTAAACCTGTGTGGTGGTTTAAACTAAACTAGACACAGCTATGTGACTAAAGTTGTAAATACATTTACCTGTGCGTAGGGAAAGGTTATTACTCAAGTCGAAGGACGAGAATAAACTGGACCTCAAGGAACAGGTACTTCCATTGCATTCCTTTTGGCTTGTTCAATTTTTCTCTTTCCCGTTTAATATAGCTGAGTTTTCTTCTCGATTTTCGTAGATACGGGACTTAAAAGTTTATGTTGAAGCCCAGAGGAAACTTTCAAACATGGGAATTTCAGATGGGAAAGGAGGAACTGTTCTATCTGTAGAACCCAACAAGCAATCTTCCAGCAATTCTCGAAGGCGAGGGAAGCTAGGTCGAAGACGGAACTAGTAGCACTTTGACAAAGTGAGGCTTGCTCAAGTGTTTGAGCACCTCCACCATCTACCGGTAGGTTGAGGGTTTGAGTCACCCCTCTACTAGAAGGGTAAGTGGAAACACTATTGATCATCCTGCGGGTGGAAAACGAAAAAGAACTAGTAGGAATTAGTCATCCCCTGCTCTTGTATTATATACTACTAATAAGTTTTGAGCATTGTACATGGAAGAGTCTAATTCTGTGTTGGCACTTTGTAAATGAATTCTTCTTCTTCACAGATTTTATATAATCTAAACAACAATTTCTTGTCAGTTTTCACCAGAAAAGCAAAGCTTTGTAGACTCAGTCAAGTAGTTTCGAAATATTCAATAATTTGACTTATAATAGTAATGAGAATTAAGAAGTTGTGGAGGAAGGCAGTGTTTTAGTGGAAGCCGAAGGTGTTCAATATCTACTATATATATATATATTAAAAAAAATAAGTTTGACCGTGTATGTATAATGTAATTTTACGATAAAGACGTTTTGAATGAATCCTCTTCTGGTACCCTAGCTCCACCCCTACACACACATATGGCTCCAAATTGTTATCCATACAACTCTCTACCAACAACCATGGAATTCCAAATATAGGTGGGTACATTTTTACTTGGTACTGGGTGAACATAAGCCTTGAGACATGGGGCTTATGAATCTTTAATTTCTTACTTTATGTTTTAATAATATAGAACAATAACACATAAATATTGGAAGTGTTAAAGTCATCACTTACAAGATATTACTATCAAACTACACATAGCACCTTCCTAAAGTCTGATCATTTTGAGGCATGAAGATGAATAAAAAGTGAAGATATAAATTTCTAGGTATTTTCATAGGGATGTTCAAATTATATTTAACCTCAGAATATTATTCAATTAGTAATTATGCAATAATATGGACCATTATTTCATATTTGAGTTACTACTCTCAATCTTCAGATAAATTGAGCTTCCATTATTCATTTGTTTGAAGAATTTGAGAGTCAACATTGCTAATTAGGGAATTTGACACATGCATTAATAAGAAGTATGGTTAGACTCCAAGCGTTGAACGTATTTAGAACGCACAATCAAACACTTAGGACATGAGTCTCAGGGCGTTTTGCAAGTACCCCGCCCAAAGGCGAGTCCCAAAAAGATTCAAACTCTTTGTTTCTCCTTTCTGTAACATGTAAAGGTACAGGTTTCATCAAAACACGTCCTCAAACCACTCGAGTAACTTTGAGATATTCAGTAAATATAGAAGGAAACAATTTGGAAATCATTCTTCTTTAGTAAAGCTAAAACGAACCATTGACAAAGGTAATTGTTCATATCTCCAACTATAATTAGGATTTCCAGATTACTGACCCTCTACTACATTTACACGTCCACGAACATTATCGGTGAACTGATGTAACCCTACTAAACAAACTCTACATTATCTAAATTCAGCTTTCTATTAACTACACTGGCTAATCTAGAAGCTTCTCCCCTTCCAAGAAAATTGTAATGGAGGGGCGTTGAAAAACAACACAATGCAGTACATACACTCGTCCTTTCAACGAAAACTGCCAGCATGTGCATGAGGTAACTACCTCTGAGGTTGATCTGAATTTGCAGCACCTGAAGTGCTTGGCCCAGTACCATTTTCAGCTGGGGGCAACATTCCCCATTTACCTTCAGCCTCAAGCGGCTCAAGTACAACTACAGCACCATCGTTTAGTCCCAATGCAAACTGATTCGGATCAGATGGATGTGCAGCAATAACAAGTGGATGCACCCTTGCACTGCAAAACAAATTTCGAAAACAACCAAACTAAAATGAGAAAGCACAGAGAAATACAGCTAAAGTATTTTCAGATTTTTTGAGTTTTTTTTTTCAAACAGTTTTTGGAATAAACAAAGAAAAGCAGCAGTGTTCAATCACCTTGGATTAGCGGGAAGGTATGAAGTAGGATTGATCCGACATCTCCATCGCAGTGTATAAGCACTGAGAACACCTACACTTGCATCTTCAAAACTAACAAATATAGACTGGCTATCACAAGAATATGTTGCATGTGTAATTGGCCCAGTTACTTCTCTAGGTACCCACTGTTCAAGACGAAAAATCCAATGTCAGACTTAAACTGGGCAGAATAACATAAGGGAAACACACAGTAAAGAATATTGAAGTAATAATGTGCACATGTACTCTGATACTTTTTTGGTATTCATGATGTAAATGTGGTTAACGGATTCACCAGAAACCCACAGGCCTAATGGAATAGAAGTCTAATCACTGCAACTCAAGCTTATATGATGTATCCTTATTTTAAACTTGGGATTGGAAAGGATTAGAGAAGGGAACCACACCTGTTTGAGGCACTCCAGTTTAGGAGCTTCAAATATGGCTATCTGTGTTTCGTGCACTACCAACAATTGTGTCTGATCCTGGTGAAATTGTACACGAGTATCTGCTTGAGGAGCAGCTGCACGCCCAGCAGGAATCTGCAAGTATTTGCTTGTTTGCTTCTCCCAGGAATCACTGCTCCAAACACACAGCTGTAGAAACAGGGTACCTCATGATGCAACGGTTGCTCATACAAAACATCACAACTACACAAGCTCTTATTAAGGAAAAGATTTGTAAAAATTATAATATGATTGTGGTGAAGTAGGCTGGGTTACCAAACCAAGCACTTCCTTTTGTTGCAGCACATAAGTTAAATATATAAAATTGTCTCCCCTAACAGTTTATGCTTTTATATAGGGTAATCACACATGATATTAGAGCATGCTTGACGTCCTAGGTTCAAATCTCACAGCCACCCATCAACAAAATAGTTCCACATGCTTGGTCCGGAAAAAAGGTTCGAACTGTGAGGAGGCGTATTGCATACATAAAATGAAATAAATAATTGGGTGCTCTCTCCAACAACTTTGAAGTGTTAAGACAAGGTAGTCACACTATTAACCAATTTCCTCTCGATCAAAACTCAACTATCAACCTCCAAATAGTTCCACACTAAACTCATTTTTCCATAATGATTAGGGCAGAATATCTAAAATTGGTTTTTCAACCAAAATACATCTATATCAAATTAATTTACCTGAGAATCTGCTCCTGCAGATATAAGCACGTTGAGAGAATTCGAAAAAGCAAGCCCAGTTATTCTTTTCTGATGTCCTTTGAGCTTTGTCTTTACCTACACAAAGGGATCATACTTGATGTCAACGAATTTAAACTAAATACTGAATTAGTAATATTCCGAAAATCACAAAATGAAACAAATGTTTGAATAACTCAACCTCGTCAACTCGGACATTATATATTTGGATGGAGGAGTCATCCATTCCTATGGCAATAACATTGTTATCTTGAGGATGAAATGCCAAAAAGGTTGCTGCGGGTGGGGCGGGCATAAATGTTGTCATAGTCTGCATTTGCAACAGAAACAATATATAGAGATTAGTGGAAAGCAAAATAAAGCAAAATAATATATAACTTCATGCAACTAATTCCTGATTTATAGCAGCTTTTTAGCTGAACTGCTAGACTAAAGCTAGAGTGCAAGTTGCTCAAAGTTTCCCTCTTTCATCCCCACATATGCAACCAAATTACTTGTGGACAGCTCAGAATGAAAAGATGCAGTATTTTACCTTAAAAGTCATCATATTGAACAACGATATTTTCCCTCCAGAAGCTGACATGACGTAGGAGTCATTCTTTGAGAGTGCAAAACACGGAACAACCTCTTCAGGATTTGTGTCATTAGTATCATTTGTCATCAGTGTCCCACTTGCAGGTTGCCATAGTTGTGGGACAATACTTGCATTAGCCTATTAGAGAATTGCACAATGAGCTGTAATGATATATATTTGCAAAAGAGAGTTAAAGTTGTAAAAACCAATACCTTCCCTGTCGGGTGTCGGTCATTTCTGGGCCATTTCCAAAGTTTGTGCACAGCATTGGCAGCTAATGCCAATATAGCGTATCCTGAATTTGTATATATCAACCTTGTAACCTGAAACTGGAAAGTATTAGAAAAAAGGACTACTTTTTTCAGCTTAAATGGAAAATGACATTAGTCATTACAGATCAAGTATATGATGCAACCTCACATCTCATAAAGAATTGTTTACAGGCAAAAACTTTGGTCATGGTTTTATTTAAGCAATAACTCATACCTTCGGTGCTGTTGCACTGTCAGGAAGCTTCAAGGATCTACACTGTGATGGATCATTAATTTCAGTTGGTTTCCAGATTTTAGATTTATCAACAGGCTCTTCTGCAGCTCTTGGCCTTGCATCACCTAAATTGCGACTTTCACCATTCTACCAAGAAATTAAAATAAAGGGGCTGATCAACAAATGGTCCAAAGTCCCAAAACATACAAGTATGAACTGCACTAAGAAAATCTCTATTTAATTAGAAAAGTGTCACCAACCATGGATGCCATTGGCACTGCTCGATCTACAAAGCTTGCAGCAACAGAAGTGCTAGGAGGCCCAAAACTTCCCACCGTGGAGGGCTGCACACATGTAAAGCATTTTATCGACAGCCTAATATTACACAGTAATATTTTCAACATGGAAGAACAAGGAAAGGAAATGCATCAATCCATCTACCTTCACCGCAGAAGCAGAAGATACTCTAGAAGGATCAAATGGGCGATTTTCCATGGATCTTAAAAGCCTAACACCATCTGCATTTGCTAAGATTTTTAGCCCATTGTCACTTGTCGAAACAGCCAACAACATTCCTTCCTTGTTAAATCGGAGGCAAGGAGAAGCCTGGGAATGTGGTAAAAATGTGTAAGTAAAAAAGACATGGTTGGGTTGTTAAAGAATTGGTCGACTGGCATTTACCGGTAAGCCACCGTCAGCGTCAGTAGTTGTCAGTAAGTTAACACTGTCCATTTCCCAAAATTTGATCGTGAATTCATCACCAGCTGCCAAAAATCTGTTTTTAGTAGTGTCAAATTGCACTACCCCACCTGCACGCTTCCCCAGACCACTAAATGTACGCTTTACAGCTCCTTCACTTTCATTCCATTCAACAAGATATGACTCTCCTTCTTTGTTAGTCCCACATGAGAATAACCTGCAAGCCAATATTTCATGATATACCACAAACTTTAACCAAGGGAAAGTAAGAAAATCGCATCATGCACAGTTATGGAAGTCATTATGCAAACCTTGTTCCATCAGCACTATAGGCCATTGTGGTTGATGAATGACCTGGTGCATCATAGTCAACTCTTGAACCCATGTTATCGTATAACCACGCCTTTATTTTCCCATCAATTGCAGTTGAGAAGATAAACTGAGAAGACAAAAAAAGGAGCAGAAGACCCAAGAAGTTAGATAAAAAAATATCACTAAAGACAAGTAAATTAGATCTTCACATCAAAAGAGAAGCATTTTTGAATTCATGAATGCTGAACAGCCTCATAATTTTTATTACTACTTGTTAATGCTCTTGTGCATATCAAAATACCTGAAAACTGTTTCTTCAAATCATATATGAAGGAAGAAATAGTGCCCGAAATGGGGAAAAAATCATCTAACAAGTTATAATAAATTTTCTGATAATTCAAAAGGAGGAGCATGGTTAACCTGAATACTTTCTTTGTGATGTGGACATACTGAATAGACTGGTGCCTCATGGCCCTCAAAAGTATATTGCTTAGCCCCTGACACTGCATCCCACACCTGTGAACGAGAAATATTTTATCAAATACAGCTCATAACCAGTAAACAGAAAAAGGTGAACGGGGTGGAGGAAGTCCGACCCTTACAATCTGAGTCAAAGCACATAACATATCAGACCTTAATAAGCCTGTCATCCCCACAGGTTACGATACAAATCTGTTTATTAGGGAAGGAAAAGGCAAGATCGTTGACACTTCCTGAATGAGCCTCAATCTGCACGTAAGGCCCAGTCAAAGTCCGTATTCATTTAGTAAAAGAAAGCAAGAGGTAAATATTCGGAAGGATTACCTCAAGATGGTTTCTAAGATCATCGCCACCGTGATATGAGTAGACGTGCACAAGGTGCTTAGAGAATGCAACGCCTAATGAAGAATCAACAGAAAGCAAAAGGAAAGTTAAGGCCGATTATTGCAATTCAGTCTAAAAAATTTAGCTTTCAGTAGTATGAACTACTGAAACAAGCTTTATCATTCACAGAAAACTAAAGGTTCCAGGATTTAATTTCATTATAGCCTCCAGACGACTTACCAAACAGAGTGCCATCAGGACTCCACATTACACGGTTAACTGATGCAGAGTACTCACTTGCCATAGATGCCTGGTTGTTATTCAGATAATAAATTGGTATCTATGAGACTTATAAACCATCCATATGACCACAAATGATAAACAAGTGTGAATGCAATCAACAAGTTTCACACTTACCTGTAGAGCCACTGAACATTGTGAAAGATCCCAAATCTTGAAATTTCTGTTAGCAATCCTCTCCCTAGAACCCAATTCCCAAAGCATAATCTCTCCTGTGCCAGTACCAACTGAAAATAAAGAACCATCAGTAGCAGCCCAAAACAAATGTACAATTGGTGTAGCATAAAAGTAGATCTAAAAATCAAAATGAGGGAAATGAATTAACGAAAACCAATTTCACTGTGTGGAAACTAACCAAGAAGCAAAATCTGCTGCACCGGATGGAAATCCATACTCTTGACTGCTGAACCCTGATTTAGAGTCATGACAAAAGCCTTGGGCAAATCATCTGATGAGTAGGAACTTTGCGCATGGCTTTGTCCGGAGTATCCACCAGGCAAAATATTGATAGGCATATTATTTACCTGTAATCAATTCATATAGAATCACTGTTTCTCTTAAAATACGAAAGCATCAAACACACAAAAGAACTTCCTAAAATATGAGCGGATTTGCAAGCCACAGTTTCTAACGTACAGCTCAGTTAAATACAAACTAATGTGTAAGCAACTCAAGATAATGGTAACATACTTCATCTGATACACCAAAAGGTCTTGATCTCTTTAACATGTGCTCCGAGTCAGCTGTTTGATAGTCTACTGTTGAGTTATTTGTAGGAGTCCTCGGACGCTTTAGCATAGCTGCTGTTAAATAATTAGCACATAGAGCAAGTATCAGTTTATGGTTAGCTAACTCTAACAGGGGAGAGGGATTGGAGGAGAGAAATCAGTTTTTCAGATTTGCAAATACACTCCACTATATTTGTCAATGAATGGGCGGTCGCACTAGTATTGATGGACCTCAATAGAATCATTTCGAGGTTGTGCTATACGTACAATACCTGCTGCATTATTTGGAGTGGTAAAACCTATTGGTCCAGCAGATGCAGAAGGATGAGAGACTTGGGAAGGATTAGTCATCCACCCAGCAAGAGCGTTTTGCAGAGGAGCAGGTGCTTGCTGGAAAGGCTGAAAGAAACAAACTTCAATCTCTAATCATTCATGATTTACAAATGAAATTTAGCTAGTTTGCTTTTCTACTTACAGTTACACCATGAGGACCCAGAGCTTGAAAAACCCCCGACTTTGGAACAGCTCCCATGAGTGGATGAGTAACAGGGGACGGAGCACGTGCACCATTTGGCTGTGAAGGACCGCAAGAATGGTCCACAAATAAGGTCTTTATGTCAGGATTAGGCTTCGGGCTCTTACAAAGCTGATGCTGCCAGTTCAAACTGCAAGAATAACGGGCACCTATGTGTAAGCCAACTACACTATAAATAAAAGAAGATAAAAACAAGAACCAAAACCGAAATGCTAGTATTTAAAAGTCTAATGCTCTCCAGAAATAAACCTCTGGTTGATTAATGTCCGCAGTCTTGCATTCTTCAAGGAAGGAAAGGTCAGCTTATCACGAAAAAGGGGATTTGCTTCTATCAATTTCTTGAGTTCCAGAAGCATTATACCCCTAGCAGACTTAGTATCGCCATATTTAGATAATTGCTCGTTATCCCTGAAAATCATTGCAGACAAATCCAGAACCATTTGAAAATTGACAAAGAACACATTTAAAAGATAGACAAAATAGATATGGGAGCTAAGATAGCAATCTCTGAGTCAAGTCCTTCCGTTACCTAAAGTTGTCAAGAGTCAAAAGTTGTGTTATTTCTTTGAAAAGCTCTTCATTAAACGCCGAAAACACCTTCAAGTCCTTAACTAGGATCTCAACAGCTTTAGAACGGTCATTCCTAGAAGAGATACAAAAACAAACCATCAGACATTATAGAAATTATTGAAACACACAACAAGCATCTAAATCGGAAAAAAAAATCAGACTCACCTATCCAGAGCTTCAAGATACTTTTGCTTTCGGATCTCGAAGAAAATTTTCATGGAGTATCTATTATCATCAACCTTAGTGAACCCAGATAAGTACTTTTCCACTTCATCCCATTCTCCATTCCCCACCATTTCATCAAAATGCCTCATGTTAAAGTAAAACCCAGATTCTTGCTCCAATCTTCAACACACCAAAAACATAAAAAATTATACCACCAAACAAACAAAACCTCAACAACATTATTACAAATCATAAATTCTTCTCATTTAATTGAGTAAAAAATGGTATATATAAAGACAAAAAATCCCATTCACATACACAATTAATATAACAAATCAATCAATTCAGCTAATTTCTCACTCAACCCACAAATTTCACAACACTTTAGATCCCCAAACCAAAAACTCAAACAATTCTTCAATCTCCCACATTTACAACAGAAAAAAAAACCCAAAAAAATGAGGAAAAATAAAAACAAAACCCTACTTGTGAACAGCATCTTTGAATTTCTCCTCATCCAGAAACTGCAGTATCAAAAATACAAGCTCTCTACTCAGCGAAGACATCTCTCACCTGCAAAAAAATAAAAAATCCTCCAAATTCAACTCCAACCCATTAAAATTAAACCAATTCCATACAATTCCCCCAAAACAAAAACTCCATAGATCAAACACAAAACCAAAATTTCCTCAAATTAAACTCACCTAACACCTAAAACACCTCATCCACCCACATATACGTGCATGTACATACATATACATATATAGAGAGAGAAACCGCCTAAAACACACACACATACACATACACACAATAACATACATACCTTGAATGAATGAGTGAGAGACTAAACAAAAAAAAAAAATAGATCCAAGGTTTTTTGTGTCTATATATATGAGAGAGAAACTAGAGAGAGAAACAAAAAAGGTAGAATTTTGAGTACTTTTTTTTATGGAAGAGAGAGAAAGAGAAAAAGACCATGTGTAAGTAGGGCTAGGTGGGGAAGAGACATATAAATAGGAGAAGGAAGGGAGTGATAAGAGGGGTTGAAAATTTATGAAATAATGTAATAAGTTTTTTTGCTTATCACTGATAAGTAACTCTGCTTATCATCAATTTAAGGATAAGTACATTGACTTATAGACTTGTTTAATACGTCTCTTAAAAAGGAAGATTTTCTTTTTTAATTATTTTTTTTATTCGGCAGGAAGTGCGGGAATTTCGATGAGAGAAATGATTCAGTGTTGTCGGCCTTATTGTAGCTTTAAGGACTCGCACAGTTTTTATTTTTTAAGCAATTTAGTTGTCTTACTTTCCTTTTTAGATTATTTTATTTTTTTCATTTTTTTAGTTGTCATAATTTTTTTTAGAGTAAAACAATATATCATTTTAAGACATGTTTTTTTAATTCTATTGATAAGAAATAATATTTTTTGTATAATTTTTGAATAACTAAAAATTTATTTTTAAAATAATCAAATATTGACTCTCGAAAAATGTAATAAGACAACTAAATAGAAACAGATGAAATATTTACTATGATTTTTTAATTCTAGTATTTTAGGTATGAATTTAAGGAAAGAAAAGTTATTTTTTTTCCTTTTTTTAATTTTATGCTCAGTCAAACTATAAACGGGAGTAGTAATTATTTATGTTTATGTTTGATAGAAGAAGAATATAAGAACGAAAAATATTTATTGATTGACCACAAGTGAGAATTGTTATTGTTTTTTTCCTTATTTGGTAGAAAAATATTATGGGAACTAATTGGAAATTACTAGTATTATATTCTTTCCAAGTATAGAAAATATTTTCTTCGGTGTAAAATAATTCACATAAAGTTATTTAATTATTACTATTTTTTACCGAATTTGTACTTGATGCATTCTTAATTCAAATTTCATTGTATAAATTTAATGATATTATGTTAATCTGAAAAAAAGAAATTATAATTAGTCAAAAGTTGCTTTTTAAATTTTCGGAAATTAGTGAATTTCTTAATTTAGCGGGAAGGTCAAAGAAGTTAGTGACTTAGTCCGTTCAAATTTTTAAAAATAATTATTTTGAACTAGAATGAGTATATTTCTTTTTCTGGCACATTTTTTGTTTGTTCTGATTTGCTTAGATATCAAGAATTTAATTTGACTGAATCTAATTTGACTGAATTTAAATTTAAATATCGTGTTATAAAAAAAATTGAGATTTTAATTTTTTATTAAATTGAATGTGATATCTGTTTTGAGATTTTACTAATCTAAATTTGTGCTTAAAAATCTAATTTACGTAATGAAGTATTTTTTTATTAAATACGCTCTAAAATAATTAAGAATAAAAAAATATTTATAGCTCAATTTCATAGGACTAAAATAGCATTAAATTTTGCTAACCCTATTGAGAAAAATGTGACAACAAAATTTATTGTTATTTGACACAATGCACAATCATTGACTGTTATAGATAGGGACGTCATAATTATTATTATTAAATTGTAACCAATTTTGTTTTTATATTTCTTTTGACTGAACAAAAATAATTATTTCCTTTTTAATTATTACATTTTTCCTCTAAAAATAAATTTATTATATGTGCGTTTTGAAATTTGAACATTTAATGCACGGATAAACAAGAAGCAAATTCTTTTTTTTTTTAGGAAAATATAATTTAATGGCATACACCTAAGAGATGACAATATCAAATCTGTATAAATTTAAAATTTAAAGATTTATGTAATTTTTTAATATAAATGTATTAATAGCTCGATATTTCCTAGAAAGAAGAATCTAGGATGAGATAGATAAGCTTCCATTTCAATACTTTGACCGTCTCAAATTATTTATCATTTTCTGTTTCACATTTTTTAGAAAATATTGATTTATATCAAAGCATCTGTCATAATTTTTAAAATAGTTTTCTCAAATTAGTTATAAGAATCTAGGAGGAGATTAGCTAGCAATTCAATTCCTTAAGCGTCTCAAATTATTTGTCGTTTTCTATTGCACATTTTTTAAAAATATTTTATTCATATCAAATTATATGTTGTGATTTTTAAAAATAGTTATCACAAATTAATTATTATTTTAAAAGTTTAAGATAATCCTTTTTTTATTAGTTTTTAAAAAGCGTGTAAAAGATAAAACGTTAAATAATTTGAGATGAACAAAGTATTATTTAAGAGTGAGTTTAACTATTGTGTCCTTATTCATGTTTTAAGATACAAGAATAATTACTATTAAAATAAAATGGGAAAAAAATATCTCAAACTTTTATAATAATAAATTATTTATAAAATCACGATAAATAATTTAAGAATCACTTTTTTGCTTTAGCATTACCCATAATTTAATTTTGTTCCTATTTTGGATTTGGAAAAGGACAAAGAACCCCCATAAAAGTAAAAGTACCAAATATAGGAATATTAATCACTTATGCATAACGTGAAATTTATTTGCAGCATCTGTCCATGATAAAATTTTATTGGTCTAAAATCTTGTAAATTGGTAAAAGTTTATGTGCACTCATATTACATTAAATAATTATAATTTTTACGTTGAAATTTGAGGTTTTTATGTGCACTCATATTACATTAAATAATTATAATTTTTACGTTGAAATTTGAGGTTAGAATTATATCTACTAATTAATTAAATTAAGTGATAATTGTGTATATAATTATACGTATAATATTTTAATTAAATTGATGAAAATATCATATGTGAGTAAAAAATTTCCAAGTGAAACTTCATTAAAGTTTCTAGATTTGAATATAAATATCATTCTTATATACATGTTTAATAAGTATTAAATTGTTTAATAAGTCAAATAATGACTTTAATTTACAAAATTTTCCACGGTTCAACATCTATATATAAAAGTTGAAACCTCTATGAAAGATAAAGCAAGTAAAGTCACATCTTGAGAACTACTTAAGCAATTTCTTAAGTCAAGTTCTTGCGCTATATATCGATTATGATCTTCACTAATAAATCGAGTTCAATGTGTCCACGATGAAATCATGTCAATATGTATCTTGTCAATAAAAGGCCCAAATAATGACAATACATGTGTAGACATTAAAAAATTATGAGACTTTACGAGGTGAATTCAATTTCAGTAGGGTTTTTTCAGATTATTCTATCTTAAATCTTAATTCATGTCTATATAAAGGTTAATATATTCTCTTGAAGAGGCATCTCAAAAAATTCATAAATTCATGATCAATTTTTCACAAAGATATCAAAATGTGGTCGAACTCTTCTTGATAACCAAATATGAGAAGGTACATATTATCCTAATTCGAGAAATATACCACTAACAACCCTTGAATCACATAAAATCTTAAAGAGAAAAAAAAATAGAGAATAAACAAATTTGTACTCACAATTGATGAATAAAGTTATTATTTCTATTTATTTTGTGATTGCGGTATATTTTCTGTATTTGAAAATAGTGTATATTTAAAAATGAAACCGTTCCAAGTCATCATCCAATTGATAAAATTATTTTAATTCATAATTACGATTTAAAAACCACGTTCATATTTATCAAAAAGCATGTTAAGGATCAATACTTTAATAGAAAAATCAACAATTTTGTTCATAGACAAAACACATATATACATATATTTTATAATATAGAATCAACATATGAAATCTCAAATGCAATAGCTTGTCTGCACACAAAGTTTTATTCAATATCATAGTAAAACATATGTTAAAAAGAGACATACATGAAAAACGAACATTTCTTCAATAGAGATGTAACGATCCAAATATGCATCCTAGGTCGAATATCTATTCAAGCCTAATAACTAATATAAAATGTGTTCAAATTCTAACTCAAATCTATGGAGTGTTACCGAAATCTAGTTGTTCGGACAAACTATAATATAAGAATGAAAAAAAATAAAATAATATATAATGTTGTCAGTATGCCCCTTGCAACTAATGCATATATCATGGCATAGACAAGCGCACTCAATAAGGATGGTGACAAACACGAGATACACAAGGAAAGGAGATCACATGCAAGTGCGCAACTCACAACGGGTACACAATATTTGTGCCTATGTATACCCAAAGTCGTATTGGTCCAAAAGTTTGGACATATACATAAGTTATATATTATACGGACCAAAAATCAAAATATATCACAATTTATGAGGGATCAAAATATCTATTATTTTGATAAATTATATTGAAGTTGATTGAATATGAATTGGTAAATTTATATTAGATTGAAGTCGCTTGATCGATTCGTTAGCTATTTGGGTAACAAATAATATTAAGAAAATGTGTAAAATATAGATAAATATTATTGGTCCGAGTGTTTACGATATTCTCGAAAGGGAAGAGGAATAATAATGGTCTTTATTTTAGTTATTTTTTAATTTTGTTGTCTGATTCAGTTGGTTGGTCCAATGGGGTTGTCTACATAGTAATTCCACTCAATTTAATGCCAATTTTCTTACATTCTTTTCTGGTCTAATTTACTTTCCGTTTCAAATTATATGTTGTATTTTTTTTACACGCTATTTTTTCTGTTTAATAATAGTTGTCCACTAATAATTTTGTATACTTCTTAAGAAATTATAAATAAAAGGTAATTAGACTATATCACTATTGAAATATAATAAATATAATATCTTGAAAAATGTAATAGAGAGATTACTATAATTAATGATATGGGGAAATTAGGAACTAAGTGTAAGATTAACCATTAATTTTGTAAAGTGGACAAGTATTGCTGGACATCCCAAAATAGTAGTATAGTTTGTACTAATTTGTAGGCCCTATATATATATATATATTATGAATATTATTGTTATTTTATTTTTATTTATGTTTTTTGAAAAATATAATTCTTCTTCATTAAATAAACAAATTATTTGTAATCTTTAAAAAAAATAGTTATCATTAAAAATAGGGAT